AAGCCTGGAGCACCAGGGGTTAATCTGGCCCTAAAGAGCTCCAATTGTTAGACCAAAGTTAAGATTCAAATGAGCACCTAAAATGTGGAAGCTTGTCTAGTAAAAGCAATTAAACCTGCAAACCAAGTTAATTCATCCTTAAACAGTCATTCACTTTTTCAGCAATAATTAAGCTCGACAATGATCCTATGACTGTCAAATGCAGTAAGTACTCTCTCCATTTAACAATTTGGGAAGACCTAATGATTAAGTGTCCTCCATACACCTGTACAGCAAGACAGCATTGGGGTTGGGATTGAGGTCCAGGTATCCCAATTTCCAGTCATGTCTCCTGATCCCTAAATATTGTCACCTATTTAGTGGAAAGCTGCTGAGTTTTATGGCTTAGGGAGAAGGGAACACAAATCAATGTTGTTTTTCTAAAAAAAATCCTACTTAGTTCCAAGCAGACGTTATAAACAAAGAACAGCTTCCTGAAATAGTCTCAAAGTAGCTGCAGCGTTAAAACTGGGCAATATTTTTTCTTTGGTTTTAGTTTCTAAAATCATCAGTTTAAATGGAGAGGGTCATAAAATCTCTCTCTCTCCTGCTCAACAATGTTCAATATCTTATGTTCATTGCAGAGGCTTTTACAGTGTTTTGTTTTTTATGACTCTTTCAGCCTTAACTAGAACACTGTAAAGACTTTACTGAAGCAGCTTGCAGTATACATATGAAATATTTTGGCAGATTATTACCTCAGTAACAGGGTTGAACAAACAGCAGTATTACAATAACAAAACAGGAGTCTGTAATTCCATAGGCATCTTTAAGAGACAAAAATGTGAGGCTCCTTAACTCTACCAAATGGAAGTTTTTAGCTACTTAAATTTTGGCTGTGGAGCTGACTATAAAAACAAAAAAGTGGTTTGTTCCAGAATTTCCCACAGTACTTTGTTGCAGTTTTGTTTTGCTTTGTTTTTGTTGGGGGAGGAGGGGAGAGAATCTATAAGGTATGGATTTAAATAATTTTTTTTTCTGGCAGAAATTTTTGGCCCTGCAGTCTTAGTGAAGGTGTCAGTCATAGTCAGATCAGACACAGTGTTGGCAACAGCGGCTCAGAGATTTGATCCAGAGCTCATGGAAGAGTGTTTACAATGAGTGTTTAAGGGTCAGCCTCAAAGTTTACAGATGCACATTACATTTTGTCACTCTGCTTTAACTTTGTCCTGGAGGAACAAAAACTAGTTTCATTTCTCCTGTAAGGGTGTGTGTAGACAAAACGGGGGCCCTAAACTGAAGCGGTGGGTTTTTAAAAACATTGCTACAATTTAGGGCCCTTTTAACCCCTGTGTTGTGCACATGCCTGAGCTTACTTGCCTCTCCGGTGGTGGGGAGGGAAGGGCAAGCTGCTGGCGGGTGGAGTGGTCCCTGGGCTGCGGGGGAGGGGGACTGGTGCTTCCCTCCGTGGCAGTGGCGGCCCCCCACCCCCTCAGGTGGTGCCCGCCCACAGGGTCTCAGCTTGGGTGGTCCCAGGGTCACTGCAGCCATGGAGGGAAGTCCCAGGCCCCTGCGCAGCTCAGACAGGCAAGCAGGCTCTAGGGGGAAGAAAAAAAAAGATTTTGGGTGGAGACTGCCTTCCCAGGCTGCTGCCAGGCTGCCTGCATGGGCTACCTGCAGAGCCCCTGCAGTGCTCTTCTAAGGAAGAGGACTTTTAGTTTGCTGTGCCCCAAGTCATTTAAGGCACATTACGCTGCTGAATTTGCTACAGCGGCTGGAATTACTGCACAATACACCACCAATGCATGCAAACACCAACATCATTAAAGTGGTATAAAAGCATTTAACCCACTTCTAAAGTGTTGTGCACACATGCCCCTCGTTTCATCTACACACAGCCAAAGACTACCAACAAAGGGTTCACCTATATTAACTACAGACAGTCAAAAAGCCTAAGGATGAATCAGTTCAGTCTTTGCAGGTTAGTCTAAGGTGCATAGATTAAACTGAAAAGCAAGTGAACAGATATTTTTTTTTTATTCTGGAAATGCAGCCCCATGCTTGCAGTGGCCCAGGGCAGAAGCTGGTGGGGGGGGATGGCGGTGGCACTAGAGCACACCTCTCTACTTACCTGAAGCAGGCAGCTTGGGCCAAGGCTAGCCTGCCCACCCAACAAGGGAGGGGTGGGGGCTTGAATTACAGGGGAGGGGCAAAGCTTCATGGGATTCAGGGGGACTGAGTGTTCGCTTGAATCTGGAAGGGATCTGAGACAGAAGGTCAATACACTGATTTACCCTAAATCAGTTAAGTCTCATACTACATCTATTCAAGTTTATCTTAAACCGGTTTTGGCCATTTTGAAAGCGGTTTATGTGCACTGAACTTCTGTTGTGCTACAGATTTGAACCAGTTTCTGATCACTTCTACTGGTTTATGTGTAATTTCTGTCCCTAGCCCTAGTGTGAGATGAGGAGATGATTGTCAGTCACACAACGTAGGTTGCTAAATAATCATTTGGAGGCCCAAGTTTAAGGAGTAGGGCAGAAATAATTGGGCTCTATTTGCATGTATAGTGAGAGAACTCAAGAGAAGTATGGTCTCAAGTATGGTCTCAATAACAAAAGGGGGGAAAACCAGGAGTAATAGCCACAAACTCCTGGAAGACCATTTCAGGCTCAACATTATGAAAAACTTCTTCACAGCCAGGGTGTCCAGACCGTGAAAGAAGCTCCCTCCAGAGGTGGTGCAATTGACTACCCTGGAAATCTTCAAGAGGAGACTAGACGGACACCTTGCTGGGGTCACTTGACCCCAGCTGTCTTTCCTGCCCAGTGCAGGGGGCTGCACCCAATAATCTTCTTTGGTCTCTTCCAGCCTTACAATCTATGAATCTACTCAGGGTCTGCTCATGACAATGGAAACCCTTTAGTGAGATAAAGATGGGCCCTTCCATTAGTGGGTTGTTGTTTTAAAGATGTTCATTCATCCCTGGTAGGGCCATTTCAGTCTCAACCACAGCATAACCATCATCCCCAATTCTCAGCACGTTCTTCCCCCACAGAGCTTATTTCTGTCTTCCTCTTGCACTCACACAGGCTTTACCTTGTCTTTTCAAAGCTAGTGCATTGTCTCCTCACTGCAGAGTTAACACAGGCTGTCTGCCTGCTGAGCAGGTTGTAGCCTGACCTTGTGCCACGCTGATAAAGGCATGTGGCAGCACAAAGGTGTATGGCAATCAAAAAGGGTGCTTCACAAAGACTTCCCGCCCCACATTGATTTTTTTTTTTAAAGAGGTCCCCTGGCAGCTTCACTTACTTTACAAATGTGTGATTAGAGCTTAATTGTCAGTATTTGTTTTACTGTTATTTGTGCATCAAGTACCCATTCAGCTTTAGGGAGTTGTGGGAAAAGAAGGGGCATTAAATGAGCCCATTTCAGGAATCAGCAACCCATTTACCATTTTAGAACCCTTTTTGTGTAGCCAAGCCATTGGCCAGGCTGTTGGCTGTGTAGCTCTGCTAATTTTTTCAAGTAAATGCAGTAATCTGAAACTGGCAGTAGAAATGGCTAGACCATTCAAAAATAAATGATTACCAACACTTGTAACTATTATTTCCTATTCTAGGCCCTGAGAAAGGGAAGTCTTTAGTATTTTGGATATCTCTATGTGGGAAAGGTAATGATGACCTTTTTAATGTGGTCATGTTCTAAAGTTTTACAACTGGATCAGATAACAGAGGCTGTGGATAGTTGTAATGATATGCCATTTTAAAATGAAGGGGAAACTTACTGCTTCACAGCATGAGATAACTAAACCAATGTAATTGTTTCATCTGTTCACATCTATAGTAATATAACCTGAGCTAAACCACTGTGACTTTAAACCTGAATGAAACAGCAGGTTACCTCCCCTTAGAGGAGATAGGGACAGGCAATTCAGTTACATTTGTTCAGTGTGAGTCATGCTAAGCTGAAACTAAACACACTGAATATTGCTAATACTGAGATAGCATTATCTCATGGAAAACTAGTGTTTTTTAAAAAATGAATGCTTGTCTGCTGCTATAAGACATGGCTTCTCAGGCATGCCTAATAGGTTAAAAGAAATGTGCAGATGAACTGGATAACATATTTCTTGAATATCTGCTAGAGCATTGAGGACTTTGTTAAGCAGTGTGTTACCAGGAGCAAAGTAGAGCTGAATGCTAATCTTAGAAGTTCAGGAATATGTCCGGGTCAGATGATGGAATGGCTTTTTGTAATCCTCGTGTCCTCACATTGTTTTTCCGCAGAGAAGCTGTAGTGCATGCATTCAGTGAAGCTTTCAGAGAGTTATGCTAGAACTGACATATAAAATAGAGCAGTGACTAGCAATTGTTTTATTGGATCAATTTGGATCTAACTGAGCCAAATGTTTATTAGTGTGTTTCTCGTGAGAGTCTGAATTCTTAAATGTGAATTTCTTAAGCAGAATTTGTACATTATCTTTCCAAGGGTCTGCTCTTATTCTACCATCCACTTTTCACAGGAGCATAACAGTATTACTAAATATTATTCACAAAGGTTTTTGCAGCTCCAGGAGAGGATTTGTGTGTGTGCATGTGATCATTCGGTATCATTCCCCCTCCAGAGACGGGAGAGAGTTAGACATCACTCATTTGGGAGCCTGTGAATATCTCTGAATGTATCCCATGGAGTGAAATAGCAGCTGATGTATTCCACCTTTCACTCACTTGAGTTGGGCATTTTGTCTCTGTAATTTATAGTTTCAGCCAATTCAGGGACCCCAAACGCAGATACCTATCACTATAAACTGTCACTGTCCTGTCAAGGTGGCCACAGAACCATGCAATTTTGAGCAGAGAAACATGGTGGCAAATAACAAGATTCCAGGATAAGATGCTTCCAAATGAGTGACCAGGAGAATCCTTGGAAGAAATGGCCAAAAAGGTAATATTCTTATCAGATGTTTTTCAGTCAAACTAACCATTGTCTTTCTTGTTTTCTTTTCTTCTTCCCAGGAACGAGTGGAATATCTCTTTCTCATAATTTTTACAGTGGAAGCATTTTTAAAAGTAATAGCATATGGACTTCTCTTTCACCCCAACGCTTACCTCCGCAATGGCTGGAATTTACTAGATTTTATAATTGTGGTAGTAGGGTAAGTATCACTGTCTTATCAAAGAATACACTGTATACGCATGGGAACATAGGCCTCTTATACATGTGCAGGAAGGCTGCTACAATGCGCTGTAATTACAGCACATTGGAGCAGAGTCGATTAATTGAGTCTGCTGAAGCGTGGTAATTATCATGCTCCAGCATCATGTGTATCAGCGTCCACATGGTGAAAATGGCAGTGGGGGCACCATAACTAAAGCTTGCTCAAGAAAGTTAAACACCCTCGCCACCATTTTTCAGTGCAGGGATGCTGATACACATGACACTCTGGGCACTTTAATTAGCACGGCTCTCGAAGCCACACTAATTGAAGCACCCCCACCTCCCGGAGCACATCTATAAATGCCCACAGTATGAATTCTGGGGCTTTAGGAACTCTGACTGACTGTGTACATACAGAGAAGAGAGCACATTGGCTTCTTTTACATCAGCAGTTCCCACATGAGGTTGCAATATCCATGGATGGGTTTACAAGGGTGGGGGGCTGTGAGTTGGGAGTGAGGGGCCATGCTGAGGGAATGGGGTCATGCTGAGGAAAACTTTGGGAAGCACAGTTCTACATGCTTGTTTGATTCTACTGTGTGTCTCCCTCATCACCTCCACCCATCTTCCAGTTCACCTCACTTGCAGACTCCCTCCATTTACCATATGTTGATGGCAATCTGAGAATGTGCTGAACTCATAGAGTTAGATGCTTTGCTGGTATAAATTGATGTTTCTCTGTGAACTTCAGTGAAGTGACAATGATATACACCAGCTCAGGGTCTGGCCTACATTGTGTGTCTTCTGCTGTTAAGACCTTTTTCAAAAGTTTCTAGAGCATAGAAATTAATCACCATTTGGTTTGGTGGGAGGGGTGGCCAGGGGGCAGGGGAGGCATCTGGGAAGAAGAAAGCAAAGTAAAGGTATTGGTAAATATAAAAAAAGAGCTTAGGTTCCTTCATCTGATCCTGCTAAACTGAGCTAAATTAACCTTTTACAGCTGGATGGATGTAGGTGGAATAGTTACTATGCTATAGTATTTCCTCTAAAATGTTGACAAGCTGACAAAGTGAAAGTAAAAGCTTGTTCAACTCAATCAAAACATTTCATTTTGATAATTTTAAAAAGAAGCATCCCAGTATCACCCTGTATAGCTGTTTTTAGTCTGTATTTAATGCATTTTGAATCAAAATGTTATTTCAAAAACTGTATCACCTTATTTAAAAAATATTGGAAAAGGTTCTTTTGGTAGTTTGAAAACTCAAGTCAACAGATTCATTGATACTAACAGGGTTTTGACCTCCATTTTAGTTTTGACAAATACATGTAATTTGGTGAAAAAAGCATTTTGTTTAAAATTTCAAAAATGACTGTAGTTAAGAGTGAGAAACATGGAAGAGCTTCTGGAGGGGCTGGACATGTTCAAATCAGCGGATACAGATGCTCTCCACCCCAGGGTGTTGAGGGAGCTAGCAGAGGTTATTGTAGGGCCTTTGGAAAGGCTTTACGAGCACTCATGGTGCTCAGGCCAGGTGCCAGGTGATTGGAAGATAGACAACGTGGTCCCCATCTTTAAAAAAGGGAGGAGGG